ACCCTGAGAGACTTTCTGAGGGATCACTCATCCTCAAATTACTATAGTAAACACGCTTAACTCTAGAGTTTTTTCAATAAGGCTTCCAAAAAAAAATGTGCACATTGTTGACATGGATAGTCTATTCAATCAATTTAATTACTATTCAATTTCGGATGACCTGATACCGGCTCATCTACATGAGTTGGCCTAGCACCGACCTAACTTCGGGGGTATTACACTCATCCTATGAAGACCACTCAAAGAGAAGATGATGTCCCCATTCTTGTGAAGAAAACAAAGAGGGAATGGATGTTGAATGAAAAAATTGTTGGAATTGCTAAACTCGATAGCAATTTACTCGTTTTTCAACATTGTGGATAAAAATCAATCCAAGTTGATTTCAAATTGCAAGATTGCTAAGGAAACATGTGACATCGTGGAGAATGAGTTTGAAGGATCTTTTCAAGTTTGTGAGTCCAAGCTACAACATGTGAAAACGATATTCGAAACCTTGAAAATGGATTAAAATGAAAGTGTTCCAAAATATTACAATAGGTTTAAATTTGTTGACAATATGTTGTTATAATTGTGAACTAACGACATTTTTGGGATTTGGCCTCTTTCTTGGTGTTCGAAGGTGTTTTGCTCGATCTTTCATTTTCCAAAGAATATATTTATAAATTTTGACATAGTTAAATAATATTAAATTAATATTAAATAATAAATATATATTTAATTTATAATTATTTATCAATATAACATTAATAATAAAATACTAATAAAAAATACTTCCGTTTCAGAATATATGAGTCATTTGTTCCGGATACAGTTATTTAGGCAATGCAAAATTTAGTAAATTATAATATTATTTTATTATTTTTATATAACTAGCATTGTTCTTATTTTAATAATATGAATATAGATATGATTAAATGAAATTTAGAATGTTTATTTAAATATTTTATAGATCATAAATTTTTTATAAAGCAAAATGAGAACAATGAGAATGTCAAAAATATAAAGCAAAAAACTCGTGGCCTAAGATTTTTATAAAGACTTTAAATTGTATTTAATAAAATTTATTCTCCAGTAATGAATAAAATAACATTTGAATATCTTGATAGCTTGACAGCTCATGAAAAATTGGATATACGTCTAATGTACATCGTAACTGCTTATTTATATGGCTCATTAGATAGTTATATATATATATAAATTTTTGAAGAATTCAGTACGTCTGTTGCATATAAATCAAAGATAAATAATACAATATTATTTTTATTAAATTACAAAAGTTTTTATATGACTGTTGATGTATTTTTTCAACAATAAAAAAGTAAAATTCAAAGATATGGAAAATATCTTTAAACTTGATTAATTAGCGTTTGAGATTAGAAATCTCTAAACACTGTACGGTACATAAGATAATTAACTGGAAATTAAATGCTGAAAATTTAAAGTGGTGATCCCCGAATCTGACTTTGCTTTATTGAAGTTGATTGAAGATAATTTCTCCAGAAAAATCCAAATCCTTAAATATCCCTTGAGAAACAGTACTGGAAACCGTCGCCTGAACGGTTACAATGGCTAACCCTTCTCCTGCTGACACGTGCTCTCAACCGACCACAGTATCATTCTCACTTACTCTCAACAATGTCTAACTCCCTGAACCGACTGCAGACTTTCCGCCTCTTTGGCCCGACTGCAAACTTCCCGACTTGTAGACCACCAAACTCATTTGGTCCAGCCGCAGACCTCCCGACTTAGAGACCATCCGACTTATTGGTCCAGCCGCAGACCTCCCGACTTAAAGACCACCCGACTCATTTGGTCAAGCCGCATACCTCCCGACTTAGAGACCATCCGACTTATTGGTCCAGCTACAGACCTCTCGACTTAAAGACCATCCGACTTATTGGTACAGCCGCAGACCTCCCAACCTAGAGACCATCCGACCTGCGGACCTCCCGACCTGAGGACCGTCCGACCTGCAGATTTTCCGTCTTGAGGACTTTCCGTCCTACGGACTTTCCGACCTGAGGACCTTCCGACCTGCGGATCTCCCGACCTGAGGACCGTCCGACCTGCAGACTTTCCGTCCTGAGGACTTTCCGACCTGAGAATTTTCCGACCTGCAGACCTCCCGACCTGAGGACCTTCCGACATGCGGACCTTCCGACCCGCTATTTCCTTAGAAATATATCCATTTTGCCTGAGTTTCCTACGGTGCCCCTCGGCCAGTTCGATCAACTAGATTGCTAGGCCCAATTTTCTTTTTACCTTGGGCTTTTTAACCTAATTCTAAATTTCATACGTAACAATGACCTTAAGTAATCTGGCGGCATTAGGTATAATGGTCTCATTAATGAGAAAAAGATATACTAATAAGCCTTTGGATCAAGTGCTGATGTAATAAATATTCAGCATAACCTGAAATTAATCTATATCCTTAATTTAAATCTAATTATTTTAATTAAATAAATAATTTAAATAATTAACGGTCTTATCAAATTCATCAGTGTTGAATTTATTGTTTCAGCATTTAATCCGCTCCGTACTAATAATTATATTTGTCAATGTATAGATAAAGAAAAATAAGAAAATATTTGTGATCATAATTGTTTGTGTTGATGAGTTGAATTGGAACCCTGAAAAGCTACAATAAGCTATTGAATAGGGCATTTGAAATTAAGGATTTTGGCAAAAGAAAATTCTGTCTTGGTCTACAAATGGACACATTCAGTAAGTATTTCAATGGTTATTAGAACTTTTGGTACTAAGAATACTTTTAAATCGAAAAAAAAAAAAGAATGAAGAAGCACTCGGTCCCGAAATAACATATTAAGTACTATTGACGTACTAATATACCTGACTAACAGTACAAGACCAAATACATCACTTATTGTAAATTTATTAGCAAAATTTAGTTTAATTCCAACACGACATTGGAAATATGTAAAATATATATTTCGATATCTCTAAGAAACATTTGATCTCGAACTATTATATTCAAATTCATACTCCATAAATCCGCAAATCAAGGGCATTTTGGTGAAAGCACTTTTACAGTCTAGAGTTTCACTCCAACTTCAAACTTTGTAGTGCCAAGGCGGCGGCTCTGAGGGCATCTTATTTAGCAATGCCAAGAAAAACACTTTCACTTCATATACTTTTATTTTAATTATATATATATATAAATCTATATAATTCATAATACCTTTAATTTTATAAACTTTTAATTTAAAGTTTTTTAAAAAATATTATTTATTATATTACATATTGACATCAATACGATTTATTACTTATTGAATCAATAAACATCAAAATTCTTAAAATTCAGACAAAAGCTACTAAGTATTAATTCAAAGGAAGACAACTTCTAAATTTTATCTTAAAATTCAAATATAACTCACATCTAAATCAATTCTTCCCAAACTTTTTCCAAATGAACACACTCTAAAAGTGTGGTTGATATTAAAAATGAAATTACTGATAGTATACAATAGAATTAAGAAAAAAAATCTAGTAGAGAATAAAAATTGTTTATTCTATTTGGTAAAATATAAAAATTATTAGGAGCTAGATGAATCGATTTAGAAGGGCGGTGTATTCCAAGTAAAAAAATAGAGAATGAATAAGTTAGGAGAAAAAAATAAACTAACTAAAATAGGATTTTAGTAAAGTGAGAATCCACGAAAAAATAATGTCGTATTTAATTAGTTTTTATGAAATCAGGATTATATATTTAATAAAAATTAAATAGTAGAAAAATAAAACATGAGTCCTCAATTTTCATTTCTCTTTATTTTTCTGTGTACTAGAAAAAAATAAAAATATTGAATGAAAAATGATTCATTTATCAAATTTCAATTTTTGACTAAAACAAATAAGAATAATAAAATTTTTTTTATTTTTTTATTCTCATTTTGTTGTACTATAAACAGTGTTTGATATGATATTTTTTTAAAAAAAAATAATTAATGAACAATATAGAAATCATATTAAACCTCTCAATCAAAAACACATTATATTATTGAGAATGCGTCTTTTTAATCGAGCATGCTCTGAATAAATTCTAATTGAACCTAGCAAACTATGTGACATGCAAAATCCGAAAAGGTCGAGGTTTGAATCATGATTTCAAAGTCATATTTAGTCCACGCTACCAGACTGTTTCTTGCGGGACAAGTAATGCTTAGATTTCAGTCATGTTATTTGGTGAATAGCGATTTGACTTTAGTTGTCTTACTAATTATTTTTCTCTCCACTAATTTATTTATTTTTACAATTTTATTCTGCTGCTGATGATGAAGTTAAAGTGAGGAAAATCTATAAATAATATGGTAAGCTTCTACTGCCATTGTGCTTTTGACATGGGTAGTTCAGTGGAGATTGGATTGGTCAATGTACAAAGATTCCAATTGATGGACAAGAGTAAATCTGATTTATATTATACCAGATTGGTTTTCTACACATGTTTTATACTATTCAATAATATGTTTATTAAATTGTTTTATTTTAATTAAAATATTAAATTAAAAACAGGTTTTCTATGTAAAATATCATATCATAGTATTTATTTTAGATCTCATCAAAATTCTATTTTTTACTTATTAGTAAAATTATCTAAACTTTCAAAACTCTTATACAGACAAAGCTATTATTATTATTATTATTTTTTTTTTATGCAGCAATATTTTTATTAGAATTGTATTACGAGATTACAAATGGTTCTTTCAAAATGAAATAAAATGTGATTAGAACATATACTATCTCCTTCCCGGAAGAAAAGATTTTTGCACGTAAAATTAAAATAATTAATTTAATTTAATTTAAATTATAAAATACTAATGTAAAAAAATAATAGTAATAAAAAAAAAAGTAAAAACATAAATTATATGGGTTAGCCCATCTAAAGCCCAACAATCTTAAACGAAAATCCAACCCAAGTCTCCAGTCGTTCGTCACCTTCACTCCCCTGTCTGTCTGCATCGCAGATCTGTGTGGAAATGGTTAGTTCGCTCACTTCCTAGCTTCTTTTATGGCTATGGCTAAAAGAAGCAGCGAGTTTGAGAAATTTTCAAGCATTTTACAACAATTTGGACATGTTTTTGGTTTTGTTATTCCAATCTAATATAGGACGTTTTGCCGTTTCTGCGGTGTACACTCGCTCAATAACCTCCCGAATTACACCGATTCATACACAAAATAGCTATCATGTGGATTATCCTGTTGATTACGTGTTTTTCTGTTCAGGTTTTTGGTTCTCCGGTGGGAGAACTGTGGTGGTCGAGTCGGCGAACTGTACTGCTTTTTACAGTAAGCGGTTAAAGGAGTAATTCGCGACTAGAGAAACCTCCATTCGAGGTATTTGCTAAATCCTGCGAAATCGTCCTTATCGATTAGGTCATTGTGAATTCAATCCCTCTGTTCTTCCCGTGCAGATTCTGGTGACCACGAATGGCATGGCGGATTTCTTTTTCCTAAATTTAAGGCTTCCAAATCGTAGAGCTTCAAAATTTGTCTTCCTTCAATACATAAATCTGATTTGGCTTTGTGTTCGTATATGAATTGCAAGAGAATTCATAGTTTTTACTATCAATTTTTATTTGTGAACGCCACTGCCTTCTCAATCAAGACAAGAAATCCAGTATATCTTTTTGTGTTCTTCAAAAGTTCTGAATAAAATCTTTACCTGAATGAACACCTAAGCCTAGCTGTTTTATTATTTTCAATGAGTGATTCGATATAATAATTGAATGTGCATATCAATGTTTTGCATTTGGTTTTCTGTTTTAGCTGATGTATCGAATTCGTACAGAAATTATGAAGGGAGACAAGCTTGTTTTAAGGGGATGATGTTTCATGGGTACCATGGGGTGAAGCCAGAAGAAAGAAAATTGGGCCAGAAATTCTTGGTGGATGTGGATGCCTGGATGGATCTTCAAGCCGCTGGGAATTCCGATAACCTCTCAGATACTGTCAGCTATACCGACATTTACAGGTGAGTAGTAAGTTTGTTTTCTGCATAAATTATCTGCCATTGATAGATAATCAAGGTGTAGTATGAGATTAGTTGGTAAAGAGATCCATCCTCATCCTCGTGTTTTTGTGAATTTAAACTCATGGTGCTGAGTATTTATCCTTTATATAGTTTGTGTTTATTTCAACTCGGAAGATTCAAAATTTTGATATGAATCTGGTCTTGGTTTGTGTTCTTGAGGCTTTGTTCGACACACAATGCTCCGAATATAACAACTAGGCTTCTTTTTAATATCTAACATGTTTTTGAGAGATTCGATCATTTGAACACTGCTGTTATGCGATCGCAAATCAGATTTAATCGAAGCTCCCTCACCCTGTTTTTTATCGATCTTTTCTATGTCTATGGGATTCCTAAAATGGCCCGAACGACACTCTTACCTGAAAGCTCGAATTTTTTTGAAAACTTAGCTAACAATGCCATTTTTTCAAAATTATTTAAGTGTATATAGACTTGGTACCAATGTTACCTATCCTTTTTCTCGAAAAATGCAGGGTGGTTACCTAATTTGTTTTTGTCCGAAACTTCAAGAACAATCATGATATGTGCTAAATATACATGCATATTTTTTATTTAAACAGTAAAAGTGCATATTACAAAAGTAAAATAAAATAATTATTATTTTTTTTTTCCTTTCAAAACAAAATGAGTGTTTGATTTGAGTTTTAAATCAAAATCACTATTATTCAACACTCTCAGTTTTCAATAAAAATTGATTTGATAGTACTTAAAATTGTTTATACTTATATATAATGTGATAATGAAAATAATAATTGAGGGTTATGTGGATGTAGAAAATATTTCTTTTTTCGACAAAACATCTTAAGAAAATTGGATAGATTTTTCTCGTGCATATCCATTGGCATAAAATTAAAATACAATATTTGTTCGTACATTTTAATTTTAATACGAAATAATAATGAGTTGTAGAATTGTCAATTTAAGTATACTATAGGTCACAAAAAATCAAGCAAAACTACAAATAGTGATAAAATAATACTCTCATTACTAGGGGTGGGAAAAAAATACCGAAATATCGCATATATTGTACCCACAAATATCGAAAATATCAAAATTTTCGGTGTACGGTAACAGTATGTAAATTGAAATTTTCAGTATATACCGAAATACCAAAAAATTTTATTGAAAATTTTGGTTTACCGTATTATCGGCACAGTACAATATGTATATCTATCATACCGATTTTTGGGTATGGTATCGATATGAAAAAATAACATACTGAAAATTTCGGTACAGTATTACGGTATAATTTTCTATATACCGTACCCATCTATGTACAGATAGTATAAAATAGAAATAATGAACAAATTAAGTGGAATAAAGAGAGATTAGAATACAAATATAATAAGAAATATAAGAACAAATATCATAATGAAAAGAAATAGGAAAGTAGTTCTTTGTACTTAAAAATAAAAAAATAAATTAAACTATGACTGACAGTTTTGATCTATGTAGAGATTGCTTCAGAATGATTCATTATTATTATTATTATTATTATTATTATTATTATTATATTGTACTACATATATTTATAGAAAACAAAAATAACTACAAATAATCACCCACTAATAAAAGACAATACATATAACTTGCAAGAGTGATGAATTTGGATTGTCTAGTCTCTATGATTTGCAGAGTATTCGATCGGCACAATCCCAAGAGAAATGCTCGGATATAATTAGACACGAGATCCTACCCGAATATATATTACTGGACTCAAATGTATCAAAACCCAAATGTGCTCGGACCCTATCGCGATCGATGTTACCGCCAAATCTAAAAAATTTCAACACAAACTCAACTCGAACGTAGATCCGACCTACTTAAAAAAAAATATCTATTTGTTTCAGAAAAATAAATTAAAAAATATATAAAAAAAAAATATTCTCTTTATCCCGCTCTAAAGCTTACATTTATAGTTTGCGCCAAATATAAATATTCAATCATACTGCCACCGCCACCAACAAGAACAACATCACAACAAGAATAATAATAATATGAAAATATATGTCAATTGAAAATAGAAAACCAACAATAATTTATTATCTTAATTAATCGAGTCTGGTCTGGATCCGAGTCGGGTAAAGTCTACCATTAAACCTTGTATCCAATCCGATCCTAAAAATATTGTTAAAGACCCGACCGATACTTGATCCAATATCTAAATAATTGAACCCGACTCCAAATAAATGGATCGGGTCGGGTATCATGTCTACCCTAATCCATTACCATGCATATTTGGAGAGTACCAACTTTGTAATTAAACTTGACCAATGAGATGTTTACATATGGAATTTGAAACTGCCCAATCTTTGAAAGACTGACCATTTTGTATAACAAAACATTTAGGGTTTGTTTGTTTAGTGTTTTGTTTTAAAATTTTTTTTTTTATGTGAAATATAGGAGATTGCATCGTTAATATAAATAATATTCCCAACAGCAGAACTAGAATTTGACGAAAGGAATGGCTAATTTTTAAAATTTTTGAAATAATACTATTTATTTATTATCGAATAATTTTATTTATTTATTTTCTTGTTATGTTATATTTTAAAAATCTTGCAAAATAACAAACTACAACATCAATTACATATTACAATATTAATTTTGGCATTGTTTAAAATCAATAAGTACAATTTTTATTAGAAGAAAATTTCATTTTAAAAAATAATATTGGATATTGTTTCTTTCTCCTATATGGTGTTTTTCTAATATCTTCTTTATCTTTACTTAAAAATTAATTTTATATTCAAAATATTATATTATATTTATTAATAATTTAATATCACACAAAAATATTCAAATTTTAAAATATTTATTATTATAAACCTAAATTCAAAATTTAAAGTCCAAACAAACAAACCATATATGAAATTTTAGTATATATTTAGTTTATTCTAATTAATTTTTTTATATATATAACATCTATAAATATTATATATACACATGTTAAAAAAATACTAATAAAAAAAATAAAGTAGTGAAAGAATGGTTGAACCATTATATAGATAAATCTAAATAATATATTGATAAAATATATAAAAAATACTACTATCAATAATATAGATATTGTAATATATATATATAGATATATATTAAAGTGTGTATATATATATATAGATATAGAGAGAGAAATTGAGAGGCAAAAGAGAGAGATATATTGAGATACAACGAGATAGAGAGGGAGTGATAATCATATATTATATCATCTACACCAAATACAATAAGCAACATATTTATACATATTAGAAAAATCATTAGTCATTTCATTTGATGACTTGAAACATATCTAAATGACATCTATAATAAAATATAATGAGTCGTAGATACAATGAGTCATAATATATATATATATATATACATGTTCAAAATAAAGAAATAATAATAAATGCAAATTAAAATGGGGAACGCCCCGGCCCTTACATGCGGCCGCCATGGAATATTCTCCTCGTCTTACTTATCGTTTTTATATTTTTATTTTCGTCTATTTCACTTATTATATTATTTTTTTATTTTTTAAAAAATATTATATATTTTAATTTCATTTAAAAAATTTTAATTTATATTACTTTTTAATTTTAATTTAAAATTATTTTTATTGTACAAAAATTAATTTTAATTACTAATATATTATTAATTAATTACTAATTATACTTCTTATGAATTCTCGTGTTTACAGTAAATAGAATAGTGTAATCGAAACAAAAGAAATAATATTTTATATTGAATTTTAATTTTTATGAAAATATAATTATATAAAAAAAAATTGAAATTGAACAAACAAACCTGTAATAATAATTATAATTGAAAAAAAATATATATGAGAAGAAGGTACAACTGGCGGAAGCAGCATTTAATTAAAAGCGCCCACCTAACAAAACTTCCTCGAAATTTCGACGGATAGAATTGTGGCGGAGGGAGCCGCAATAAGGTACAACACCATCATATTTATTTATTTATTAATAATAATAAATTATTCAATAATAATAACGACGTCTTTAATAAAAATTAGTGCATACCTTCCTACCCGGACGTGACTGCAGATACGCAATTCAGCAAAATGGATGTCAAATGGTCTTTCTCACAACAATGACCATGCATATTATTATTAATATGTACTCCCACTGTACCATAATAAAGTATTCATTTTTTCATTTTAGTACATCCTATAATAAAATATTCATTTCTTTTTTTAAGTAACTGTACTATCTACCTAACATTACAAATACTCTTTTAACTTATAATATATTACACAAATATCATTACTTTTATATCACACATACTAATAAGGTTATTTTAGTTATTTCAACTTTATTCTTTTATATCCCAATATAATAATAAGATTTCTAAAATTACGTGCAAAAAATAAATGAATATTTCTTTTTAGGATGAAAGGAGTATATATATTTTTTTCTCCGACTACTCAATTTTTATTTATTTTTTATTTAGTTTATTCATTCAAATTTTTTTATTATTTATGTAATAAATACAAAAATTCATATACTTTATTATCATATTATTATTTTTATATTAAAAAATATAAGTAAACGTATTTTTACATACATTATGTGTACTATACTTCGATAAAATATTAATGTATGCCAAAAATAAATAAGATAATAATATTTAATTAATTAATATTGATATTTTTAAAATAAATTTAATGTATATGATTAAAAATATTTAGAATATATATTTACATATTTTAAAAATTATATAAATATAAAAAAATATATGTAATATGTATATTATTTTGAAGAGTATAAAATTTCATATATTACAAGTAAATATAAAAAATATTTATAATTAACATAAACTAAATTTGTAAAAAAAGTAGAGTTTTAAATATAGATAAAAATATTTATTTTTTACAGAGAGATATATAGAAATAAAAGAGTTTTTAATCGGTCTACATGATGTATAATGTTATACACTAGTTAATTAAGTTGATTTACATTTGTTAGCTATGTTTTGATTTAATAAATTTTATCTAAAATAGAAAAATATTAAATAAAATAAGGAAAAAAATGAAAAATGTATTTATTTAATAATATTGATTTATGATATTATTTTATTAACTTTAATTTGAATAGTATTATTTGTATT